TCTTCAATTTACGATCTGGTAATAAGCTGCAAAAAAAAATAGAAAAAATAATGTAGCAGATAAGAGCACTGGAATTTTGAAACATCATGTGATCTAATACTAAGCAAAAAATAGTATGTTAAATTAAAACTTTCCAACTAGCAAACCACAAAAGTACATGACATGTAATATTAGAATAAACAGGGGCTACTGTTGAGAAAGTTACATGAGATGTACAGAGAGAGATAGAAATATATTATTGTCTTTCAAATTGGTTAACTATCTACAATTTTAGTCTCTCCAGAGATTTAATCCACTATTCTTTGCGAATTTTTTTAGAAGCTTCATTAATAATATTTTAATGATAAAAGAAAATTTTCAAAATGTAGAGAAGACACGTGAGAGAGGGAGTAGAGACCTAGCAATAAATAATTCTTGGAGTGCTTCAAAACCTGTCAAGGCATGGCGCTTCCCAACCTTGGATGTCACCATTCCTATATTAAACATCAAACACAGTCAATAGCTCGAGCCTAATCAAAAGCAAATATGCCAAAGGACAAAAGATAATATGTGCTGCACTGTCAAGCCATGGTATAAATACAGTGAGAGTCAATCTCACTGGAAACACATAATTGAGAAGAAAAATCATGCAATGGAGTAAGTATTTGCTATAAACAAACAATAGTTTGTTAGATACAAATGAAACTAAAAGCAAGTGCATCGCTGGGCTTCATGTCTAATCTGCTTCAGATTTGGGTAAAAAGCGATGGGTGCTGCTTAGGAATAGATCAAACTTTCTTTTATAGCATTAAATAGCAGTCTAGTAATATCCCACCATCAGAATCCGGGAAAAACATTATAAGGCATAGTTTGTTCAAGGCATACGTGATGCAGTATAAGAAGATTTAAAATGGCAAAACACTTAGATAGGAAAAATCCTCCATTAAGAAAAACATAAAATACATAAACGCCAGAATAATCATAGTCCTCTACCAATAAAAATTCACCACATCAGACCCATGTAAGAGCCTCTTTGACTTCAACGACAACACCCATTGCTTACTCTTCAACTCACCCATTGCATGGTAGCTCAAACTAACCATGAATAAGAACTCACCACCAAAAAAAATTCAATTAATCATACCAAAAACAATAAAGAAAAATACAAACAATTGTTCTAAACTTACCCAAGAGGGCATCAAGAGAACGCAAATTTGCCATTGGATTATCCCCCACTAACACAGCAAAAGCAGACACTTTATCAGCGGCAGTCCCTGACCTCTGTGTTGAAACCAACATCTTAATATCACCACTTTGCCCCCTTGTTGACGCATAAGCATTGGCATACTGAGCCATCAACCTCTCCGCCAATTCCCTCTTCTTCTCCACAAACCCTTTCCACTCTTCTACATCCGTTACCTCCAGCCTCTTCCCTTCCCCAATCACCTTCCCTTCCAACTCCGCCATGTCCTCAAACCACACTCCCAAACCACTTGCCTTCATCAAAGGAAGCTTCGGCAGGTTACTGAACTTGTCGAACCCCTTTTCCTTATTGGAACCATTCTCCAGTGACAGAACGGGGGGTTTCGGTTTTGGTTCGAGTTTGGGATTGCTCTTCTCGCGGGGTCCATTGTTTTTGCCAAAAGTTTTGTTCTTAGGCTTCTGTGCGTTGTGGGGCGTGGCTTTTTCAGGTGGTTGTTGCTGCTTCTTTGGGGGCTTGTTCGGTTTGGTTTTGCGAAAATCGACATCGTTGAAACCTGAGTGGGAGTGTGATGTGGATAACCCGAGCGAGGAAGCGAAAGATGCAACATCGGATTTGAGGAGGTCAACGTCCTCTGTTTTATTTGACTTGTTGGAAATCGATTTCACCATTGCTGCATGTAGGACGAAGGAAGAACCACTTCACAAGCTTCAGAAAACGAAATAGAATTAGGTAGGGTTTAAGAAACGGTTGGGCCTGGCTCGCATAAAACACAAGTTTTAAGCCCAAAACACATGTTTTTCTTCGTGCACATAATATTTATCTAAAATAATAATATTATCATAATGTAAATGTAAATAGATTTCAAAAATTTTATTTAAACAAAAAATATTAAAATATATAGTTTTAAAAACCGAAAATCAGTTCTATGTTTTCCAAAAAGTATTTCTTAATTTATTTTCCAAAAAATTGATTTTGAAATTTAAAAAAAAATCCGAAAACACAGACTAAAAAATAAGTTTTAAATTATATTTTCCAAAATATAATTTTTTATTATATCTTTTTAAAAGATTCAGAAATCGAATACCATTTTGTTGGAAATTCTTAACAACCATCCTATGTATTTTATCTATTATTCTCGTAAAACTTATTAAAATTTTTGAAAACAAAATTCAAACTATTATTTGTTCTAAGTACATCCAATGATGTTTTTTAAATTCAAACAAATTTATTTTTCAAAGTATATATCTTGTCCTTATGAGAAAATAATATCATTCTCCATGAATTTAAATTTATGTTGGACTCTAAAGATTCACACAAACATAATTAACTTCATGGCATTTGTAAATTTCTACCTTGATAAGATTATCACTACCATCATTGAATAAGTTTTACATTTAGATGTCACAATTTTATATATTACAATTTATTTTATTATTGGCTAATTAGTAACAAAAATACTTAATTTCAATCTATCATACTTTCTCAACATGTACTCGTTAGAACATCAAATAAGTTTTATATTTGTATATTATTAAGAATATTATTTTATTATATTTTATTTTAATTATGTATTAAAATATTTTTATTATCTTCAAAAAAATATGATATTATTATTTAAAAAAATTCTAATTAAAATATTATTAATATTTAATATTTTATTACATTTTTATTTTAGTACATAAATAAAATAGATATTCATGTATATTTTACAGGTAAAAAAAATACACGTTGATTAAATCTACAAATTCTCATTATATATCTTAATCTTAGATATTATTATTCATCGTATATTAAATTATGTAATTACTGTGATATAGGAAGAATATTTATTTGGAGCCTTTAGCAACTGCATGCTTCATTTGAAATATTTATCATTAGTTAGACTTATGGTACATTGATAAAAAGATTTCTTGATATTTCTCTTCTCATAATAAAAAAATATTTATTGTATATATAAATAATCATATTCATGGTTAATGTAAAAACAAGGGCTAATGCAATACATGTTGATTGTTTGTTGTATTATAAAAATTTGAAGAGGTTTTGAATAAGTTTGTTTTAAAAAAATGTCGATAAGTTTATTTAAATGTTAAATTAAAATAACTTTATTAAATTTTCATGATTTATTTTATTTAGTTAAATTATTCATTTTACAATTAAATAAATAACTACTAAATACAAGTTAAATAAATTATCATGTGTGATATAGTTAACTTTAATTGTTAGACTTAAGAATCAAGGAAACAATTTTCGTCTTTAATTTTTCATTAATACTTATATTTAGACAGTTTTTAAATAATTATAAATAGTTAATTTATTTAGAGAAGATATAATATTTTAATTATATTGGAGATGGTAAACATAAATATAAATAAGATTTTGAATAATTATTTTTGTTTCATTAGATTCAAATAAGTTATTTTAGTCGAAAATTGAAAATTAATTTCATAATTTAATTAATTGACAATACCCTAACCAAAATTAATAATACCTATAATTAATACTAAACATTTAAATCTATCATAAAAATAATAATTTAATTTATACATTAAAGATAGAAGTCGGTTACTTGAATACTTAATTTTATATATTTACTTAAAGTTTATGTAGAATCTAATACCCTTACTGACAATTATTTACAAAAATTATATAAATTTATTAGAAAAAAATACTTTAAACATAATAAATTATGAAAAAGATTATATTTTATTTTAATAATATTTTATAAACTATTTCAATTGCTTGTATTATTTAAAATGTATAAATATGATTAATCTAAAAGTGGCCATAATGGTTTTAAATATCTAACCATGATTTATTAAATAAAAAAAATCACGAAGATAAAACAATAATACAATTTTTTTAAAATTGTAAAAATGGCCAATTGATTTCAATACGTAGGTAGGAAAGAGGCGTTTTTTTTTAAGAGAAAAACCCAATGTAGGTGTTTGTTGGCCGTGTTCACTGGTTGTCCATTATTTTTTACTTTCTTTATGGAACTCCATAGTTTATTTTATAATTAAATTAAATTCTATTTTTATTTTTACTCTTGTCTTTATTAATAAATGCTTATTTCTACTATTTTTATAACTACTTATTTCTGATTTTAAAAAGTTTGAATATATAAATTTTAAATCTTATTAAAGCATTTATATTATTTGTTCTCCTATTATTTAAATTTTTATAAAAAATATGTAAAAAAATTCCATTTTTTTTAAATTTGTATCATTTTTTTTTATAACGTATAGTATTAATGTAACACGATTTTTTTTGCTGGAAATATGTTTCAGGGATTCGAAATAAAGTTTTGGAAAAAAATATCTAAAAACATGTAATAGAAAATGGGTTTAGAATATATTTTTAAAATTATTTTTTTATAAATACATTTTAGATCCACAAATTTAGAATGCATTTATGAAAATTTAATTTTGAAAATTATATCAGAATATATTGTTTTTAAAGTATTGAGAACGATGTTGAACGAAGATGAAAAAAATCATATATTTCATTAGAAAATAGAAGCTCCGAATTTAAAACAAAATTTATTATAAAGGTATTTTAGTTATTTTATTTTGAGTATGAAAGTGGGAGGAGAAATTATAGGGTGGAGAAAGAAAGTACCTTATTTTTTATTGGGCCTGTTAGTGGATTGACGTTAGCCCAAAATAGAAAAGTCCACAACCAAAACCCATTAGGGTTTTCTGCGGTATATTAGAAACGCAAGCGCAGCTTCTCTTTCTGAATTCCCTCGCAGCACTCACTGAAACACACTAGGGTTTTCGAGCTCGTTGTTTCGGAGTTTGCGACGCACGCAACCATGGCCGCCACCACTAATAACGCCGCCCCGCCGCGCCAGCTCTCACAGAAGGAAGCCGACATCCAGATGATGTTAGCCGCCGACGTCCACCTTGGCACCAAGAACTGCGACTTCCAAATGGAACGCTACATCTTCAAGCGCCGCAACGATGGTGACTAACTTTTCTGTTTTGTTTTTTGATCGCTTACAAATGCACAATAGCATTGTGCTGAAATTTCGGTAGAATTTAGAATTTGCAATAGACAAATGGGATTTTGACATGTTGTGGTGTGAATTTGGAATTAGGTATTTACATTATCAACCTTGGGAAGACGTGGGAGAAGCTTCAGCTTGCTGCTAGGGTTATTGTTGCAATTGAGAACCCTCAGGACATTATTGTGCAATCCGCAAGGCCTTATGGTCAGAGAGCGGTTCTCAAGTTTGCTCAGTACACCGGTGCTCACGCCATTGCTGGAAGGCACACTCCTGGTACCTTTACCAATCAGCTTCAAACCTCGTTTAGTGAGCCTCGCCTTCTTATCCTCACGGATCCAAGAACAGATCATCAGGTTAATATACAACCTAAAAAGTTATCCCGGAAATGAATATGTTTGACTTTAACTTCATTTGATTTGGTAGTTTACTTAATTTATTTTATGTGCTGTTTATAAGATAGAATAATTTGTGATTCATGTGACTGACTTCACCTACTGGGATGAGAATGTGTAGATTTCACTTCACCTCTGTTGTGATTTTAAGTTCATTCGTGTGCGTGCAGCCTATTAAGGAAGCTGCTCTTGGAAACATTCCAACCATTGCATTTTGTGACACTGACTCACCAATGAGGTATGTGGACATTGGAATTCCTGCCAACAACAAGGGAAAACACAGTATAGGTTGTCTGTTTTGGCTTCTTGCCAGGATGGTGTTGCAGATGAGGGGTACCATTCGTCCTGGTCTCAAGTGGGATGTTATGGTAAAATATTTTCTTTATTTGCCTTTTCTAGGTAGCATTGTTGTAATTAGCAGGCAGAGTATTATTTTTTAGTTTGTAATTCATATACTGGGATCAATTAGGGAAGTGCCAAAATTTTAGGATGTAATTGTTGAACTTTTTTTTTTTATGCAGGTGGACTTGTTCTTTTATAGAGAACCAGAAGAGGCTAAACAACAAGAAGAGGAGGAAGCTCCTGCTGGAGATTATGCCATCACTGACTATAATCCTGGTGCTATTGCCGCTGATGGCCCGTGGCCTGGTGCAATTGATCAATCGTGGACAGATGCAGTTCCACAACCTATTCCAGCTGTACCTGGTGTCAACTGGGGAGCACCACCCGCACCAGCAGAAACAGCTGGTATGAGATTATTTTTAGAAGTTCTATTGTTTCGTTTTGGTTGCCGATTCTCTAGTATTTTACTTGTGACAAAATTATGCAAAATGCGTGCAACCTTTGCTGATTTATTTTATAATGTTCGGAATTGTGCATTTATTTTTTTGTTGAATACTTGCAGTTGCAGCAGATTGGGGTGAGGCTGTTCCACCTCCACAACACCCTCTTCCTCCTTCTGGAGTTGAATCTGTCCAACCAACTGGCTGGGATTAAACTATTGTTTTTTAATGCTTATGATTTTGCCCCTTCCTGCAATTTAATTTACTCTTGTCTTTCTTTGAAGTAAAATATGGATCAGTCTTTTTTGTAGCAAAGGAACTTGTTTTTTTACCTTTATGAGTGGCAGAAATATTATTATTAGTATGGTATATTCGGTAAGATTTTATTTTATTTTGATTAAAACATGTTTCATGAATGTTTGTTGTGGTGTTTTTGCATCTCTTCTATTTATTACTATCTACTAGATACTTCTAATGCTTCGCACTTGCAAAAGCAAAGTTTGACTTGTTGTATCGTCTCATTGAACTTAATTTTTTAGCAATGAAAATACAATTAAAAACCTTAAGATTTTGTTTTTTGTATCCTTACGTCATATGGTTTGGCATCTCATCTTGCTGGATATTGTTTACTGTTTCGGTACAAGTAATTTTGTTGACCAATTCAATTTTGAATTAGATTCTGCAAATCTTCCTTTCAGTGTAATGTTATAACTGTGGTAAGCTTAAAAGACATAAAGATGTCATTTTAGAAACACGATTCAAAAGAATGTCATTTAGTTCAAATAAATGATCACTGCCACCTTCAATAAAGGTTTTCATGATCATCGATGATAAGCCAAACTTTAAATGTTGTTAACGATAGCCAATTTATGGTTTCGCAAATTTAATAATGATTAAGATTTCATTATTTGATTATTTTATCAACAAACTGTTTTTACCTACATATTCTTATATCAGATATGAAGAGTAATTACATTTTCTGTAATCCCACCCTTGAATTGTACCCCCACTTTGTTTACTCAACTTTTTTGCAAGATTGATGTCTTTTGTGGTTGTGGCATGTCAAACATCTATGCTGTAAAAGAGAGTGTTAAATCATTGATTGAAAAAAATAACTAAAATCCAAAATTAATTTCACATATCTAATTATCTTCTCCTCTCATATTTTACTAAAAATCTTCCTTGAATTGTGTTCGAATTGATAAAATGATAAAGAAAACTAAATCATATTAAATCTCCCTGTTTAAATTATTTTAAAATAACATTTGTCAATATACATTTCTTTATTTTTGCTATAAACTTTTTAATTAAATTTTTAATCCTTCATATTTATTAGTATTTATTACTCATAATTAGTAATAGCTACATATGAAAATTATTTTTTAGATAATTTAAGTAATAAAATATATTTTTTAATTAAGATAATTAAATTATTTTTAATATATAATCTGATGAAGTAATGTATATATATCATAAATACTAATCTAACACTAGCTGTGTTATTATTTTGCCAAAAATATCATTAAAGATAATTATATATTGTTTTTACTTTATATTCCATACTAAACTATAAGTATTTTATCATTTTATTCATAAATAAAAAACGGATAACAAAATATTTTTAGTATAATTATGAACAAATATACTTTTTATATTATTAAAAAATGATATTCTTTTTCTCAAAATTATAATTATAATGTTAAAAATAAATCACGTAAGCCTAAGCAAATTATATACATTTAAAAAAAAGCACTATTTATTGAGTAAAGGTAAGAATAATATTGAAAACAATAAATATCCACTTTTAAGAATATATTAAAAATTTAAAATAGATTACAAAAGTAAATTGTACGTAACACATCATAAATATACTATTTAATCAAATTATTTGTTATAATCTAATTATTTGAATCCAAAATATTTGTTTTACCTTATTTATTTTAATTTACTGATAGTAAGGTAAAAAAAAATACTAAGAAAATATTAGATATCTATAAGTGTAAGTGTTTTTGAAGAACTAAACCAACTACGGTTATGTTTTCATAGATTTAAATTATGTTTAATATTCATGAATTTTCTAAATAGTAGAGTAAAATTCCCCTTGTACTTTATTCTATTAAACTGCATAGTACTGTGTAGAATAATAAGAAATGTGACTCATGCTCAATACGCTTAATCACTAAGAGTTGGTATTTGGTTTATTGCATTGTTGTGGACACATCACATTCACATAATACATGGACCACATCAATTTCCATTATTCTTAATTTATGGCAAATAAATTATAAAAATAACTATTTTTGCACTCTTCAATCTCGAGTAACATACATCTATTTAAGAGGGTTTAAAATTAAAATGATAAAAATATATCAAAAAGTTTAATAAAAAATTAAAATCTGATAAAAATCAAACTATTTATTATATTTAGAAAGTAAAAGTTAATTATATTTTATTTATCATATATTTATACTTGTTAAAATATAATAATAAAGTTGAATTATATTTTTTATTATTAAATTACATAATTTATCTATAGATGTGAGACAAATAGTAGTTATAAATATAACAATGATTACATAGAAAATTTTACAACATGTTTCTCTATTTGAATTTTTCATGGTTTGAAATGTTTTAAAAAACTATTTTACATATAAAAGATATTTTTAGTAATTTTATAGATAAAATCCAATTTAAACTACACAACAAAATAATAATCTGATTTGATTTAAATTTTATATTAATTAAAATCAAAATTTTTTATAATAATAATAATAACCTTAAAACCCAATCTAAATTAAGCCTATAAAATATTGCTTTGATTTAATTTAGATTCTAATATCAAATTAAAATCAAATCATGCGATGCCGCGAATACCTTACTCTACTGGCAAAGGTAACAGAAAGTTGGATGTAATAAGACCAAAGGAAACAGAAACTTGGATATAAAATCCTGATGGCAAGAGCTCAAATATCCAAGGAACCAAAAAAGGTTGTCTGCATATGATTTATTGAAGAGTTATAACCAGTTATGAAATTTTTTTTCTTTGGTTTTTCAATTTAAATTATGTACAGGGTTGATGATGATATTATGGTGAGTTTGGGAAGGCAGAAAAATGAATTACCTATTTGACATCTACCATTACCTCCCAAATGGATGCTATTTGAAGGAAAACTATAATGAGTAACTCAAATGTTGTTGCCCTTGAACAAAACTCAGCTTGTCAGCTGCTGCCACTGCTATTTGTTTGCTTTTGGATGATAATCTTACCATTTTATTTCTGTACAGCAAGTCAGAAACCCCCCACATCCTTCGGATGGGATGATAAAAGTCAAGAGCACTCAATTCTCTCTAACAAAATGCATCTCCCCTTCAGTTACCCAACGTTCAAATCTTTCACTGTACTTCCTATCTTTGTTCAGTTCTTCTCCACTCTGCCTTGCCTGAAATACATTTACTGCAAATTTTAGTTACCACTTGATTGATGTCTGCTATACCAAGCACTTATCAAGACGAGTAATAGACTTTGATATCATGTCAGATTTCATTTTAAAAGATGATACAAGATTTACCAGTATCCCTCCTATTATATAGTCAAACAAGGTGAGTCTACTAGAATTACTAAGATGAACTATAGCCTATCATATTTATACACCTTAGGAATCCTAACTACTATGTAGAGAAGGGTTTTAATTCTGATTAACTACGTAAAATTTTATAATGACAATGTGTGATTGAATGATAAGGTAAATTGGGTTTACACAAACATTGGATATGTATCAAATTTGAATTTAGGAAAATGAATGTACAACAACAATTTAATTCTGAATTTTTTTAATGCTGAAGATGGTAGAGGATTTGTGGACAAAGACTGAGGTTCTCAATTGCTGAAACTAGGACACCCAAATCTAGGCTCCCAATACTTACAAATATCATGTTAAATTTGCACTGTCTTGTTGATGTTTAGAGTTCTAACCACAAGTTCACAAGTAACTGTGTCATCCAGAATTTTTCATAGGTCTTAGGCTTTGGAAGTTATCTTACTTTTTTCTTCTTAGAAAAGTCTTAATGATATTTCTTTCCTCAGAGGAAACAATAAGTGATTCTGTAATGGCTATGCAGCTAACATATACTGACCTTAAGGCTGGATCCAGATTCACTTGCAGATGTCTCAGTAGTTATTAGTTCATTTGCTATATTCTCCGAGGAGATGCTGGTTGACCTGTAACATCAACAATATTGGCATATCGGTCAGGAACAAGAGGTTGTAAATTGTAGACTAATCCCTAACTCAAGAACTAGGTATTTACTCCACAAAACTGATATTACTTAAATTTCTTGACTGTTTTATCTAAGTATACCAGAATCTAGAAACCTTAACCAAATAAAGTATTGAAAAGAAAAAGAGAAAAGCATCTTCGCGATTGACTTTCAACAATAACAATAACAAAGCCATATGCCACTGGGTGAGCACTGACTTTAAGCATCCATTAATGAATTTGGACATTGTGGAAGTATTGCTCACTCTAAAAGAAAAAAACTAAAAATGAAATCCATGCTCTCCTAATTTCAATTCAAGATTCAGTTCAATTCAAAACCCAAGTCCAACATTTTACTACAATGCAAAAAAAAAAAAAAAAAAAAATCACAAGAAAGAACAAATCGTCTCGCTAATATGCTCTAATTGAAGGAGGTGAGTGAAGATTTCAGATGTACCACCAGCTAGACACATCAACATTTGCTAAGCTGATTAAAATGCTTCCTTCCCTCTTAATTAGCTCCCTCAAAGTCAAAATCTTGTTTTCCATAAATCATAATTGTACAATATCTGGGTATTGCATAAACATAAGGCTGGCAGAATTTCAGCACTCTCTCCTCATCAAATTTGTAATTCATAGATGAACCTCACAAATTAATTAAATATACAATTCTCTGATAAAAAAGCATTCTGTTTGTAACAGACCTCCAGTTAAGAATGTCTATGGAGTACAGGGAATTACATTTGCCAATATATAACATTTTGGGATTAACTTCCAAGAATTCAATCAAAATGTGGGGGGAATCAAAAGGAGAAAAAGGTAATGGTGTTGGTACACTGGAGCATCCCACAATTTTGTATCCTCTGAGTTGGTGCTGGAAAAACATACATGACTGAAGCAAATTTTGTATGGGATGTTCGATGTATTATTTAAGTGTTTGGTTCTTCTCCTTGATAGCTAGCTTTTGACGGGTTCCCAAGTGTTTGGGTACTGATCACAGTCGTCTCATTCACTCACCCAAAACTTAAAATATGCCTCTCTACCTTTGATCAAAGATTCAAGGAAAGGATCACACCAATGGTGAAGAAAGACCATATTTTAAAATCAATATGTCGAAGTGATATGGCAAGGGTATATATTTTATTTACTAATCAAAGTTTTAAAACTACCTTTCAAGTAATTCCTCTTCACAAGAATTTCCAGAAGAAGAAAGCCAGTCCACATCAAGGAAATTGGAGCAGTCACATGCATCTCCATGTTCATCGTAACAAATATGATCACTCTCACAATGTTGGCCCTTGACCATTCCTCCATTTATCTGTCTGTATGATTTGAAAAAATATAACTGTTAAAAGATTTGGATTGATTGAGTAGTAAATCACATCAGGTAAAACTATGGATCATATAAAACATTAAAGGAATTGGTTACAAAGGTGCCTGACTGATTCTCCTCTACATTCTCTTGTGAATGGCAAACCAAATTTATCAGAAACAAAACAATGAAAATAATCAGTTACTAGGATTTCACAATTAAGAAAGAAGCACCTAGTAATAGTATTCTTTTTGAAAAATTAGGCAGAAATAATCCCTATTTTAAACATACTATTTTTCTAATCCTATGGACAAATCATATATATGATGAAACTTGGAAGCCACTCCTAAGAGAACATCAGAAAATAAGATATTCTATTTATTCTATAAAACAAATAATAATGAGATTGTCTCTATATATTCTAATATAATAATGAATAAGAGTGTGTTTCCCGGGACTGCACAATAATCCTTCATTTTCCGTCCCTCACTAACAATATTTAAAATAAAAAAATCAAGACAATGCGTGAGGTTTGCTTCTAATCTCTACTTTCCCTCCATTCTCCCCTCCATCCAATATTTTTTAAAGAAAACTTTTACACACAAGATTCTGTGGGCCTAATCCACCCTCCTTTAAAGGACATAATGCCGTACAAAGCATGTACCAAATGACTGCATGGTTCCTCCTAGAATCCTACTCATGACCCCAGATAGCCTGACGTATAATTAAGTTGACATGCAACTCGTACAAAACCTAGTTCTGTCTAGCTTTGATCTGAGGCTGTTATTATCAAATTTTCAGCTTGTCTTTCTGAAAGGGTTACATTATATGGCTTAATTTAGCAAGCAAAATGCCAACTTAGCTTACCTGCAATGACAAATATCACTTCCACAAGTAAAGATGTCCGGAGTAGACCCCGAAAGGAAACGTTTATCAGGTTTTTCAGATGAATTCTGACAATTTGTAACATTCAAGTTCCCAATTGTGGTGTCACTTTCGCTGAGAATGTTACCATCTGATAGAGATCTCTTCATAGTTGACCTGCCAAAATAAAGGATAGCCTTGTCAATCATCTGCCAATGAAATACATAGTTAAGACAACATCGTTTAACAAAACCCACAAGGCACAAATAACTTGTAGTACGAAGTATCGCACCACCTCAAACTACTTGTTTTAAAAGGCATTCTCTATTCCTCAAATAGTCAATATCTATCTAAATGCTTGAACAATATTTTCAGTTTGAGGATTATGCTCAAGGTTAAAGGCAGATCTAAATAGAAAAGTTATGACTGAAATTTGACAAATTACCCACAGTTCACATATATGAATTAAATTCTTGAAAATTAAAAAATGCATGCCTCATTAAATGGAAAGAACAAAAACTGGTGAAACTCAATAATCCACCCATTACCTAACGCTGCCATCTGCTAAATAAAGGCCATGTTTCTTGACAGAGTAATACTGATCTGAATCTAGCTCCCACAGTGCAGGTTTTCCCTGTTGTGGCTGAAAATGCCCCAAGAATCTGACCCAAACAATATCAATCAGCTAAATCATTGTAAGACAATCCAATTATATACATTATTTGTGTTCGCTTTATCATCACATATGGAAACAATTATGCAACATACAACCAAACAAATGAGCTTATTTAACTTACAAGTTAATTGCTTTTTGCTTATCACCATCTAAATATGTGTTGTTGTAATAACGCTGTAGGGTTCGAATAAATTCTTGAGACTGTGTTGCTGCCTTCCATTGACCTCTTCTCTCAGAAAATATCTAAATAGCAATACCAATTGCAAAATAAAGGAGTGAACAGTAATCACTAATCAGACAAAATTTCCATGCGAGGAAAATAGAACAGGAGGCAAATTTAGATTTTCCTTTCAAAACTTCGGCAAAATTGTGATGGCCCCTTTACGATAAAGTAACCATAAAGGTTAAATTAATCAATAGATGCTTGAGCCATTTCAGAATTTTTAAATAAAATTTTTAGGTCCTTAAGATAAATAAAGCAACTGTAATTCAGTATTGAGAATAGGGTTTTGTCAAGTTTATACAAAATACTCTTGATCTCAGTTATTAGTTTTAAAAGTATAGGGAGCCTATTTAAACAAGAATTGTGAATAGTAATAACTGCATCCATACAATTAACCAAATCATCAACAAATTAAACCCTAATGCAGAAAACTGTGAATCAAATACAACATATCCTGGCAAAAGAGATATATTTTCTATAGAGACAACCTAATAAAAACAACAAGCTTTCAGCATTAGATTAACTTGCATCATTTTGGATTCCATGTTACGCTTAAGATGAAGCCAAGCAGATCCCGAATAAAATAATTATGAACAGAATTCTGATCCCATATTAAGTCCAAACTCCTAAAGTATAGATTACCTTGTTGTGTGCTGCAGAACCCCCATATTGAAAGGCTAATGTGTCGCCCATGGACTCATAGATTTCCATCAATTCCTCGGCCAAAGGGTTATCAAGATCAATATTTGGGGACTCAATAAATCCTAAAGCTTGAAGCTGACATCCAAGGGCAGCCAGTCCATAAGCATATTGAGCAACATTAGTACGGTCTAAACAGTCTATGCAATTAGTCCTCAACACCCCGGATTGAAGCATCTGGGGTTTGACACTGTAGTCTTTGTTCTCATCATCCCTGTAATAACAATTCCTAACTTCTGTTTCTTTATCAACATTATTCTTATTTATGCTAGCTTGTTCTGTGATGCAATGATCAATGACATTGTTATTCCTGCATTATATTACAAAAAAGATCATCAAAAAAACGATAGAAATAGGAACAACCATCCATGAGTTTTTACCTAACAGCTTATGCTTTTGAAATACTTTGTCCATAACACAGTATCAAAGCTTTTAGGGTCAAAAAGGTTCAGCACAAGGTCGGGTCAACATGTGCATTGTATGTTCTTCATGCCCACAAGGCTCATGCACAAGAGGCATATTACTTAAGATATTCATTGGAAAAAAAAAATACAAGAATCTTCACCTAATAGCTCAAGCTTTCGAGCGTGTTAATCCATGACATAAAATTACTAACAAATATACCAAGGCAAAAACAATTGTATATTAATTAAATGAAATTCAACTTGGCTAACTAGTACAAAAGTAAACGGGATCAAAATGTGTAATGGAACTTACTCAGAGTACGAATGTTGAGTTAATCCATCTAGATTCATATTTGGTGTCACTGGAGAGTAGAAGATGCCAGTCAGCTTCAGTGCATATGCAGCGACTTTTCCCAGTTGTCCCAACACATTAGTAGCTTTGCTGCTAAAGGTGATTGATTTAATAAAATAACACCCCAATAACAACCTGTACTAGATGGAGAGAATAAGGGAAGAGCAAGTTACCATCTTGAATGCCGATGCAGATCCCAATGAAGGAACCTCAAGCGACTTTCTCCTCTCAAATTTTTATTAATAGACCTAACAGCATTTGCAAACTCAGCTCGCAGAATAGTTTCTCGAGGCTTCTTCTCACGAGTCTTGTACACAAAAGACAAAAGAATATATAAGGTAGAAAATCTATTAGTTTAAACACATGATAAAGAAATCACCAAGCTTGCTTGACAGCTCCCTACATATATGGAAATGCCTACCTTTATCAAGTTCAGTATAATAATTGGATTTCCATATCTTTTGACAAGATTATCAAAATGAAGTCTTGTGGCTTCAAAATTCGAGTCCTTCCTTGATACTAGAGAAAAGTAAAGAAAAGGCGCAGTCAGCATAAATTAAAAAAAAATAAAAAGAGTAACAATGGAAAGTGCATCCATATCATACATATGATGTCCGGTTTAATATTCAATCTAGAGGCTTCCTGAGACCAGAACAGAGGGATTGAACCCCGGATCTGCACCACAGAACTGATTTGCATTGGGTGTCCATCTCGAGCTTCTGTAAAGACTATTTGCTCTGTCTCAACATCATTAGCTACTCTACCTTTTTCATTTACTCCTCGCTTCAAATATCTAAACAAGTACATAGAGATGAAATAAAATGCAATTTTAATCTTAACAAACTTGAGAAAAGGTTAAAACATGTATAAACCTGGTCCCAGCATAATGGCGTGAGCGCCTAGCAATTATAGTCAAATTGAGCTCACTGTCAGATATAGAAAGTTTGACCTACACACCATAACACTAGTCAACAAGATAACACCAAATCTTTTCTGGGAACATGATATACTAGTATTTTTCTAGCGCTATTAAAGTGAATTAAGAAGCCAGTAATAGAGTAACCATTAAAAGTTAGCCAGCAATAAGATGTAAACCTGGACCTGAGAAATGAATTTCCCAATGTACTACAAACTAATAGTTTATGGTTTCATAACTGCAACATTAAATCTACTAAAGAAAATGCAAACAAATAAGATTAGTTTCACTTAATGTGCTAGATTCTCAAATCATAAATCAAGGTTAAGAAACACTAAAGAAATTCAAGAGTCACTAGCATTACTATTAGCTACAGTCGTTACCTTCAAAAAATATCTATTAGTTATCTAATAAAGAACATTTCAAATGTACCTGTTTAAAAAAGCCATATACTAATGCTACAGTCCATGAAGTATTCTGGAGACTATTCCTGATTCCACGAGTCAAGAATTCATTCCAAACAAAAAGAGTTTCATAGAGTGATTGTCCTGTAGTATTTTGATCAGATAAGTTGCGTTGAAGACTAAGCATAACATTGTAGGAGTAGCTGAAAAAGAAGTCCTTTGCAAGATCCACACTGCATAGAAGCTTCTTGTATCTAAATCACCATAGAAAATAGAGCAAAGCCCATTAATAAGATGGTTTATTATATAAAGAGATAAAGTAAAACAAATTGACATAAAAATAACTTATGAAGCCAAAAACTCTAACCAAACGTATTAAAAAATTAAAAATCAAGTGATCTCCCAGTTGAACTTGATACCCTGGCAATACCTTCTCTCAATCAAAAAGTTACATTTACATAATAATAGCAATGAAGATTGCGCCTGTACATTTGCAGGAAATAACTGACAAAAAATGTAGAACAAGAAAACAACTACAAAGGAGGTATACTATACCACGACTCCAAAATCTTGAAGAGGCATTATTGATTCTATTTCATAACTAAGAGACGATAAAAGTGTACCACAGAAAGATGAGAAGGTTGCTCTGTAGAAGCCCTCATTGTGGATACAGACTGAAGAGAGACAATCAACATATACAGTACAAATACACACTCCAAAAATGTATAGTTTCAACACAACTATGCTCTAACAAGAATGTTTTAACTACACAATGTAATGAACTCAAATTAAAAAATTGTAATTCATAACAAGTACAATGGACAAGGTATACTTCTCAATGCTACTCTCTACATTTCTCTTTAAATTTACCATAGACACATTACGGTTACATGCAAAATTGACTAAAGACCTGTTCTCATCCTTAGAATAAGCCATTTTCGATCGCAAGGTAGCATGTGGAATTGGAACCATTTCACTCTTTGTGATAGCATATATATTGTGCCCACAGATTGTGCCAATCTTCCTTCGCTTTGTTATAAGCAGCATGTAATATGGCTCAAGAAATTTGATAAATCCTAAATAAAAGAAAAAAAAAAACTAGATTTATTCCGATGAAAAATGTGGGAAACAAGACCAGAATAATAATAGCAATTTAGATTTTATACAAAAATAGAAAAATACCAATGATTCCATAGCAAGTTGTTACAAATTTAAGCCCTCCTGTAGACTTGTTTCCTTCATGTATCCGCCTCAGAAGGTCACAACACTCAATTTCTGAGTATATTGTTGAATCTTCAACAATATTCAATTCGGATGGCTCCAATCTGTCAATCTTTAAGACCCTCCAAAATGTTCTGTTTTTGTCTCTTCCGATCATGTAAAATTTCTGAGTGTAGAAAAATTGTAAGACAACAATAATAGAGTTTTGTAGTCATATTATGTGCATAGACACAATTTTAAAAGATAATATTAATAAAGGAAAAGAACATCTCAGCTCACATTTTTCGTAACACTAATAAAAAACTAAATTTAATCGCAAACTTATTTTCAAAACAATAGAGTAGTTTTAATTCTAAGATAACATGGTGACAACCTGATCCAACTCAAGAACCACTTATGAGAAGCGAAGAGTCTTCCCACAATAGTCATTTATTGTGCACTAGTGTCAAGGGATGGTGTCATTGTGCACCTAAACGTGGAATGAGAACTAGTTTTACTTCGTCCAGATTTTGACGGTGGGAGGAATGTATATGAAATGAGCAATTTATTGCTCGAATGTTCTGTAAAGCCTAACAACTTTAACAAGTGCTATTCTCTTCAGTATGAGAGAATACAAATGATCCCATCCCAGACACTGAACAAGTGACAGGAAACACGATGTGAAAGTGCGAGACAAATGAAGCTGACAACTGTGAGAAGATCAAGTGATCAACATCAAGCAAAATTTAAATTCTAACTTTATTAAATTTTCTCATTTCCTCACTAAAACAGTTTAATTATATTGTTTTGTTCTATTTTTATACTGTTGCCCCCATTAATCAAAGTTTCTGAACAAGGCCATTCAATTTTTCCAGATTAAGGAGAATAAGACAAGAACATACCAGCAGTGACTTGAGACAGAAAACACAAAAATATGTGAATGGAGACAAATGAAGGTGAAAGATCTATAAGAAACATGGAGTGATAACATGAAGTGATGTTTAAGGAATAATATCACATTTTTCCTTTTAGGCCTGCTTGCTGAATAAGAATGTAACACTTTCAATTAAATCATTTCGGTTCCATCTTTTGCCTTTGCCCCATTTTTATCAAAATTTCTGGATATATTCACAACGCTACTCAATTTAGCATTGCAGAGGAGAGTAAGACAAGAGTGAGCAAACAATGGCTTGTGATGGAAAACATAAACATGTGAAAGTGATAGATAAAATGAAGGTGAAACATTTATGACTTAACTAACTTTATCACTTCTTTTCCTTTAAGGTCGTTCTCATTTTCCTGAATAAGAATGTAACAGTTTAATTCAATAATTAAGGCTTCATTTTTTATCTTTTCTTTCATAAAAAATTCTGTATTTATTTCACATGGCCACTCAGTTTTTCCGGATAACAAAATTCAGCAATTTAGAATTTCAAAATTTAAAAACTGAAACCAAACTATATTCCAGATCTGACCAGATGCACGAAATTGATGAAAGAAAATTAAAAAACAACCCTAGTTTCCCTTTCAAAAAAGATTAATAAAATACTATGAATGCTTGTTAAAGACTCAATCAGTAGATATCACAAGCAGATTTCCAATGAGTTTAGTGTCAATAAAATCAAAGTGGACAACAAAGCTTAGATGTTCAATGATCCATTACACAGAATTAAACCAAAAACATTTGCGGAAAAAATGAACAAAAGCCAGCGTAAATATAGTCAGACAATAAATACAATCTGCAAAAAGAGGAGTATAAAACAAAATCATTTAATACTGACATTTATTTACCCTCACATGCATCATGATGAAAGCAAATTAAAGTTATAAATAAATTAATTTCAATGATTCAAGTCAGGCACGACTGATCAATGTATAATGGTGAAAGGAAATCCATGAGAATCCAGACAATTCATAAAACCACGTTCACAAGTACATGATGTATCCAAATGCCCATTGGAAAGCTTCTCGTAGAAAACCAAACTTTCCGCATGACTTGATTCCTTTTCCCGGTGGAAAAACATCATGATTCATCTTTGAATATGTGCACATAAACATGAATAGAACAAGGGAAAAAAAAATAAAGAAATAAATAAACTCAGATCAAATCAATCCCAACCAAAATAACATCTTAAGTCAATAAAAGCAAAGATGGTGACGGGGAATGAAATTCATATCTGGATCATGGTAAAAAACTGTATCTGTAATGCACAAATCATTGATGCGTGAAGAAAAAAGATTAGATATATTTACCGAGCGAGTCTCATAGAGTCTGAACTTCTGCATATAACAAGATTTAAGGTCAGCTCCATCTGCAACAGCAACACTGTTATGCAGCTTCTCCTTTGTTGAATTTGAATCCATCTTCACAATTCAGATCCCGAGCCTCAAAAAGCTCGGGTTTCCAACGAGATCACCAGCAGAAAATTCCAAAAAACCACCAAGAAAGAGCTTCTGTTTGATCAAACAGAAGCTCTTCGCGCTTCAACACACGGACACACGCAAAAACAAGTACAACAAATCCCCCAAAAGGCTAAAAAATTTACATCAAACACAAACTCCGGAATACACACACCCCACAAGAACTACAATACAAAGCTACAAAATTTATGACAATGGCACACATAAAATTCCCTTTACAAACACAATGACAGAAAGAATTCAAAAGGGGCACAAAAATGAACAAAAATAATAATAATAGAGGTTGAATTGAATCTAAATCAGAAACCAAGGGAAAAGGGGGAAAAAGCAGCTTTTTTATAAATCAGGAGAGTGAATGGTTTTTGGGAATGGAGAAGAAGCAGAAGCAGCTTTTGGGTCTCAGATGAAAAGGAAGTGAAAATGAGATTGTCAGGGAAGAAGCAGAGAAGGGAAGAAAGCCACTGCATCCACACAAAAAAATAAAAACAAAAATAAAAATAAAAACAAAATGAATGAATGAGTGAAAATCATAATGAGGAATGCAAAGCAGAAAAACAATTTTAAAAGACACAAATTTGGAGTTTTCTCTCATTTGCGTGTGCACATTTTCTCTCTCTACCTGTGTTCCTAAAATTTTGTCAGCGTGTACTGTGTGAAATTTGTGATGCTGTCTTCTTTTTTTTTTTTTTTACTTGCTTAAACCTTCTTTCAATTTTTACTCAAATTATATTTTGAATAATATTAATTTAGATTAATTAACTCTATAACAGCTCTGAGTTTTCTTATATTGTAATCACATGATATCATATCTTCTAATAAAATATTATACAACCGCCATAAATAAATATAAATGAATTTCTTTAAAGTGACAGATAATTAATAAAGTAATATTTTATTGATGGTAAAAAGAGTTTATTTAATTGAAATAATTAGTTTCTTTTGAACAATTATTTTCATAGTTTGTTAAAACTTCAGTTTAAGAAAAAAATTAAATAAACTTGTTTAAAAGTTTAAATTAACGTATATAAGATTAAGAAACAATTTTCTATATAGGTTAAAGTATTTTGAAAATATTTTATGTTTAATTTGAGAAAAACATATTTTTATTTTTTATAAAATATTTATAATAAATATATAAATTAAGAATAATAAATATGCATATTAAAAATTTAAAGATTTAATTATACATTTATCATTTGACTGTTATTATTTTGTCAATTTTATGACTTAAGTGTTTTTATTGTCTGTTTTTATTGTCAGCGTTTTTTAATTTTCAAAATGTAACACCAAAATGATATTATTTTTGTTCTTCTGTACTTTGACACTATCATTTTACTGAGAAAACTAATGGATTTGAACAAAGTCAAACGTTAGAAGTGATAAAAAATAAAATAAAATTAATGATAAAAATATACAATTTAAGTGTTAAATTTGTTATTTGAAAGACTTTGATAAACTTCATAGTTAAAAAAATTATTATTATTTCCTCGTTGGTTCCATTAATTTCAGTATACAAAAATTGTCGTCTGAAGAAGAAGAAAGAGAAGGGCATGCATTTGGGTTGATGAATATTATTTAAATGATGACGATGACTGTGTGAATAAAAAAAGCGTTTACTTGAACAATGGAATGGAATATTAAAAAGGAGAGAAAAATATTGAGTTGATTCCACGCAGAGAAGGAATATCCAAACACATGCCTTCAAATATCAATCATTTCTATGGTTTATAATATTTATTCACACATTCCTCCTTTCTTCTTCCTCACGTCTTCTCTCAATATTCATTTCACAATTCTATCATGCAACTATTAAGTTTAATATATTTTTTTATTTAACTCCTCCAATTTTTTTAAAGTTTTTTTGTGTTTCAAAGTTTAAGATAATTCCAATTATTCTTGTATTATTTATATTTATTCTCTTCCTTTAATCTTTATATATATATATATATATATATATATATATATATATATATATATCATTTGTTTTAAAATAATTATTTTTATTGTTTTAAAATATATGTCACATCTTCTCTCTTAATTATTATAGAATTGTTTTTTCACTATTCATACGTATCATTTTTTTTTCTTTCTCCAAATAAACATATTCCTCCTTATATTATAAAACATATTATAAAAATAATTATAAGCAATAATATAAAATTTAAAAATCTTTATATATATATATATATATACAATTAAATTAAATGGAAAAAAGAGAATGGTATATTACAGTAAAAAAGGATTAGAAGAATATACTATAATATATAGATAAAAAAAAAATTCTATGTAGATTTAATCCTACAAGAAAAATTATCTTTTATAATGATAAGATTCATCACTAAAAGTTAAAAATCATGATTAGATTGTTGAGAATAATTCTTCAATCCATAGAAATAGGGTGTGGTGTAAAATAGGAAAGTCTGTTAGTAAGAAAAACAATTACTGGTTGTATAAAAGATTGTGTGCCATGTGAATATTAATTCTGTTACAAATTCATTTTACAAAAACTCATATCTTATCCCTTTCTCTCTAATCTCTCTAATCTCCAACATTTGGTATCTCAGAGCGAGGTTGATCAGGGACGCTGCAACCAGAGAACGCGATTTTGCTGCGAATTAGAACAAATCAAGTGTTTCAATTATGACAGGTGTGAACGGTGGCAATTTGATGGGAAACCTTCCAGTTCTTGACGGATCAAACTGGGAGCGATGGAATGTCCAGATGCGAGTGGTGTTTGGGTTCCAAGACGTTCAAGATCTGGTAGAGATTGGTTACCCTGAATTGGAGAAGAATGCCACAGAAGCCCAAAAGCAATCTTACAAAGATTCAAGAAAACGTGATTGCAAAGCCCTGTTTCTGATCCATCAAAGCCTTGACAATCGCCACTTTGAGAAGATTGCTTCGGCCATGATCTGCGAAACAAGCCTGGGACATGCTTGAGAAGTGCTATGCCTAGGTGATGAGAAGCTCAAGAAGGTAAAATTACAAACTCTGAAGCGTCAATTTGAGCTATTACAAATGAGTTTTGGGGAAAAGGTAGCAGATTATTTCACTAGGGTCCAAACTATTGTGAATTCAATGCATGGCTGTGGTGACAAGATTACTAATCAAGAAGTGGTTGAGAAAGTAATGCGAACCCTAAACTCAAAATTCGATTACATTGCTGTTGCAATAGAAGAATCAAAGGATCTTTCTGCAGTTTCGGTTCAAGAACTCCGGGGATCACTAGAGGCGCATGAGCGAGAGGGTGCTTGAAAGGGATTCCGATAGGTCCGAACAAGCATTACAAGCGAGGGTGAATAAGAAGTCTCGGTGGAGATTGGAGGAAGAACAAGAAAGTGAAGAAACAGTGGAGTGATGACTCGGACTCTACAAAAGTGAAAAATAGTGGTGATCACGGTAATGCGAGAATCATCAAAGAAGGGTGGTCTGGAAGAAAAATAGTGGGAAGAAACCTTTTGACAAGAGAAAAGTCAAATGTTTCAATTGTGACAAACTTGGTCACTTTGCAGACGAGTGCTGGTCAAAGAAGGAAAAAAAAAAAGAACAATGGTGAAGAGGCTCATGTGGTAAAAGAAGGAGATGATGCTGAGTCAGACACAATATTATTGATGGCTACAACATGTGAGGAGGATCAAAACAGTGAAGACTTTTGGTATTTGGACACTGGCTGTTCGAACCATATGACTGGCCATAGAGAATGGCTAGTTGATCTTAAAAATCATAAGAAGAGCAAGGTAAAATTTGGGGATCACAGTACAGTCATTGCAGAAGGAGTAGGCAACATTGCTGTGAAAGGCAAGGATGGTAGGACTATTGTGGTACAGGATGTTCCGTATGTTCCAGAAATGAAGTGCAACCTGTTAAGCCTTGGTCAATTAATGGAAAAAGGATTTACTGCAGTCATGGAGAATGAACACCTGAGTCTGTTTGATGTAAGTAAGAGACGAGTCTTGAAAGCTCCCTTGGCCAGAAACAGGACCTTTCAAGTAAGTATCAAAGCCTCTGAGGTGCAGTGTATGAAGGCCATAGCAGCAGAAAGTGATATTTGGTTTTGGCATTCAAGGTATGGGCACTTGAATTTTAAAAGTATGCAGTAGTTAAAGTCACAGAATATGGTGTTAGGAATTCCTGAAATTGTAATGCCAGAGAAGATATGTGAAAAATGTGTAGTTGGTAAGCAGCCTAGGAATTCCTTTAAGACTCAACTGAAGATGAGAGCTAGAAGTGCATTGGTTGTTGTATACTCTGATGTTTGTGGTCCTTTTGAAGAGGAATCTTTGGGTGGAAATAGATACTTCGTGTCATTTGTGGATGAATACAGCAGAATGTTGTGGTTATTTCAGATTAAACACAAGAATGAGGTATTCGAGGTGTTCAAAAAGTGGAAACAAAGTGTTGAAAAAGAAAGTGAGAAATCAGTCAAAGTACTTAGGATTGATGCAGGAGGGGAATTCACCTCAACTGTTTTTGAGAAGTTCTGTGAAGAAGAGGGGATAAAGCATGAAGTGACACCACCTTATACTCCTCAACATAATGGGGTGGCAGAGAGGAGAAACAGGACAGTACTGGACATGATTAGGTGCATGCTGAGAGAGAAAAAGTTGCCTAAGTGTTTTTGGGGAGAAGCTGCTAGTACGACTGCCTATATTCTGAATAAGTGTCCAACAAAGCAACTGAGTCAAGTACCAGAAGCTGTGTGGACCAAGAGGAGACCAAGTGTGAAGCACCTGCGGATATTTGGCTCACTGTGCTATAAGCACATTCCAGATGAAAAAAGAAGAAAGCTCGAAGATAAGGGTGAAGCAACTATCCTGGTTGGATATCACAACACAGGTGGATACAGGTTATACAATCCAAGGAATCGGAAGATTGAAGTTAGCAGAGATGTAATGGTGATAGAAACTGACTGCTGGAATTGGAGTAATACAGTAAAATCAGGA